GATCTGTTTACAAGGGGTTAGCACATCTGGGCCTCATTTAAAATCCACATGCAATTTGCTTAGCCCATTAGAGGTCTTTCGCCAATATTTAATGGAATTAAGCTCGCACTTGTTTGTATTCAGCTGATGCGGTAACAATATCTTATTAGAATTTCATAACTTGATTGCCTTTAAACAACAGATGCTAACAGTCAAATTGATTCGGTCCACTTAAATGATTACTTTATCCTGTCATCTTATGAGTTATCCCCTTCGATTTCCTCTCACTTAGTCAAAAAATGGATTTGGATAAAAATTCAATAATCGATCTTATAAAGAGTTTTTCGTAAATTATGACTTTACTGATAATCTCAAATTAGAATAAGAATTGAATTACAAACATCCGTAGAAATGTTTCTTTTGGGCACGTATTTAATCAAATTATCGTGATTATGTACATGTTCGCGCGATTTCAAAAATAAATACTCGTAGAAATGCTTTTAGGCGCAGGTTAAATTATTATTGTGATTGTGTACACGTTCGTGTGACATAATTACGATTTTTCCAAAATTAAATCGAGTCATGCATTCGCGCAACTTCGGTCAAACAATCTTAAATTAATAAAGCGTGACTAATTGTGTACACGTTCGCGTGACATGATTTTAGCATCCCAAATAAAGCGGATCTACACACATGTAATCCGTTTCAAAGATTAAATCCATAAACGCCATAACTAAAAAGCGGTAAAAGCTTAAATACACATAAGTTCTAAAATACGTAATTAAACAATTAGTTAAGCCATGTATGATTAAAGCGACAGTGCTAAAACTACGGAACTCGGGAGTGCCTAACTCCTTCTCCTATATTAACAGAATTCCTTACTCGGTCTTCTGTGTTCGCGGGCCATAAATAAGAGTCAATTTCCTCGATTTGGGATTTTAAAATAAACTGATGATTTGGGACACCATAACAAATATCCCAAGTGGCGACTCTAAAATTAAGTAAATAATCTCATTTCGGAAAATATCACTTTAATTGGAAAAACTCCATATTTCTTTGGAAAAATAAGGTGTGACAACCCTGACGACTCTGCTGGGGATTGAACCCAAAATCTCTGGTTCAGGGTTCAGAATTCGAGCTTGTTAATTTAATCTGTACTTGGTTTTATTGTTTGTTGATATTAATGTGTTTGTGGGCCTAATGTGCTAATTGCCTCTCATTTACCGTTTTGATATTATTTGAACTATATTAAACTGTCTTCTTACGCCTCACTTATGAGTCTTCTAAAAATATGGTGCACACGTACGCGTGACCCACTTTTCTGTTAGAAGCCATACCAAATAGAACGAGGTTGGGCCAGCAACTAGGCCGGGTAGACTTTCGTGCTCCCGGTACATTGCCCCCACCTCGGCTCAAGCTGTCCGCTTGGGTAAGCCATATTTAGAACACAACCCCAGGTTTATACCTAGAATAACATAGCCTTATGCCGGATCCCTAATCGGAACTTTTGTTTGCATCACGTGTATTTGACTTTGGGGACTCAACACAAGGGTTGTGTCCGTCTAGGACAACTGTACCTGGAATAAACTTACGTGCTATTTGAATATTTATTTGCTTCGACTTGTATGTTGATCGGCTGGGGGAAAAATCAAAAGAAAAACTAAGAGTGAAGTAGGAGAGAAATTAGCCCGGTTCTGAAAACTCGGTATTTGAAAATGTCCCGAAACTCTACCGAAATTTTTCGAAAAATGCTGAAATTTTTTAAAAAAAGTCATTTCAAAATGATTCAATAACATGTTTTCCGATTATGTCAAAACTGACTGAACTATGCGGGTTAGGTTCTCACCAAATGTGAGATATGTAGGCAAACCTCATCGGTTCCAGCCCCAATTTTTTAAAAAAATCCAAAAATATTTTCCTTTAATTACTTCTTTAGAAGTCTTTCCATAAAAAATTCAAAACAAAAAAAAAAGATTCTAAACCCAAAAATATTTTCCTTCTCTTTTGAAGTCTTTCATTCAGAAAAAATAATCAATCAAAATCTAAAAATATGTTTTTCCCTTCAAAATCCAAAAATGTGTTTCCACTCCTTAGTCTCTTTTCCAACAGAAGGTCTCCACTCCCTAGTTGATGATTTTTAGACATAGGGTCTATACTACCTAGTTGATGATTTTTAGACATAGGGTCTATACTACCTAGTTGATGATTTTTAGACATACGGTCTCCACTCCCTAGTCGCTTTTTCAACATAGGGTCTCCACTCCATAATTGATGATTTTTAGACATAGGGTCTCCACTCTTTAGTCGCTTTTCCAACATAAGGTCTCCACTCCCTAGTTGATGCTTTTTTAGACATGGGATCTCCACTCCCTAGTTTCTTTTCTAACATAGGGTCTCCACTCCCTAGTTGAAGTTATTTTAGACATAGGGTCTCCACTCCCTAGTTGAAGTTATTTTAGACATAGGGTCTCCACTCCCTAGTTGATGATTTTCATATATAGGGTCTCCACTCCCTAGTTTCTTTTCCAACATAGGGTTTCCACTCTCTAGTTGATGATTTTTAGATATAGGGTCTCCACTCCCTAGTTGATGCTTTTTTAAATATAGGGTCTTCACTCCCTAGGAATGAAGATATTCGAGAGAAGGTGGGCGTGGCCCCCATGGAGGACAAGATGCGGGAAGCAAGACTCAGATGGTTCGGACACATTCAGAGGAGGAGCACTGATGCACCGGTGAGGAGGTGTGAGCGACTGGCGGTAGTGGGCACGCGGAGAGGTAGAGGACGACCTAAGAAGTATTTGGGTGAGGTGATCAGACAGGACATGGCGAGACTTAGGATTACTGAGGACATGGCCCTTGACAGGGAATTATGGAGGTCGAGTATTAAGGTTGTAGGTTAGGGGAGAGTTGTGAATATTTCTACAGCACAATAGAGTGAGACTAGCCAGTTAGGAGTTAGAATAAGAATGCCATTGGTCGTCTAGTGATGCAGGGCTTTACCTGCTAGTTTTTACTATACCAGCCATCTTTTTCGTATTTCATATTCGGTACTTCATATCTATTGTATTGTATTGCTGTTATTTTATTATGCATTTTTATGGTACTAATATATCGGCTTCTGTTGCTTTTTGAGCCGAGGGTCTCCTGGAAACAACCTCTCTACCCTTCGGGGTAGGGGTAAGGTCTGCGTACATATTACCCTCCCCAGACCCCACTTGTGGGATTATACTGGGTTGTTGTTGTTGTTGTTGTTGTTGTTGTTGTTGTTGTTGTTGTTGTTGTTGTTGTTGTTGTTGTTGTTGTTGTTGGTCTTCACTCCCTAGTCGCTTTTCCAACATAGGGTCTCCACTCCCTAGTTGATGATTTTTAGACATAGGATCTCCATTCACAAGTTAAAGTTATTTTAGACATAGAGTTTCCACTCCTTAGTTAATGATTTTCAGACATAGGGTCTCCACTCCCTATTTGATTTTATTTTAGGTATATGGTCTCCACTCCCTAGTCTACTTTTCCGACATAGGGTTTCCACTCCCTATTTGATTTTTATTTTTGATATAAGATCTCCACTCCCTAGTAGCTTTTCTAACATAGGGTCTTCACTCCTTAGTTGCTTTTATTTTATACATAGAGTCTCTATTCCCCAGTCTCCGTTTTCTCAGGGTACACCAATCTCGACCTTTTATTACTTTTAATAATGAAATAATATAGAGTTTTGTTACCAATAACTCACGAAATTTTCCTAGTGAAACCTGGGGCAGAAATTTTTTGTTCATTTATTTATTTTGGTGCCTGAGCAGGTTATACCTCGAGGCATAGGGTTCGAGATAACCAAAAGAAGTCTCAATCCAAAATAGAGAAAAGAAAAGGAAAAGAAGTGAATTCAAAGAGCAAAAACGGAGAAAAGATGTGGATTGCTCAAGACATGATTGAAGTCACAAGCTTTGCACGTCCCGTCTTGATCCGAAAAGCTGAAGAAGAATAAACTAGCACCTGCAGCTAGCAAGTATCAAGGTTCAAATCAGAGTCTGTGTGAAGAACCAACCAAGACTCAAGATCAAGCTTCAAAGACTCATAAATAAGAATCTTGTAACTCGTAGCTGATAGGTTTAGTTAGTCTTTTTTATTTTAACTTTGGTGTAACAAGGAGCTCAGCAAGCAGTAAACAACAACAACAGTGAAATCACAATTTTCCGGTAGTCCCAGATACCAAAATTCTCAGAACTACACTGACATGATTCCTTTATAGCCAAAGATATGTAGGCAACCTCCGAAACAAGGTTCAGTCAAACTTTTTTCAAAAAATGCTTCCCATGGAGTATCAAACGGGCAAAAATTGTTTATGATTGCTCACATTATCTTTGCCCGAAAACTCTTCATGTTTCCAAGCAAAAAGCGGCAGCTATGAGCACCGAATTTTTGCCCTAATGAAAATTACTCCTAAAAATATTCCAAAATAGTTTTTTAATTATTACATAAAATTGTAGGATTTTTTCTTTACTTTTATCCAATATGTTTTGCATTTATTTGCAATGTTCATGCATATTTTGAAGTATTTTAAACCATAAAAAATCATAAGAAAATGTTTAATTTTTCATCTCATCGCATTTTAGACCTTAATTTCATTTAAAATTTAATTAAATTAATTAAATGCATTATCAAACGAAAATCACAAAAAAAATACAAGTCATTTTTATATTTTTAGCTTTTAGTTTTAAATTAGTAATTTTCTTTCATTAGTTTTAAGTTTATCAATTATTTAAATGTTAGAAATAGATGTTAGGATTTATCCCACAAATTAGATTTGATTTAGGTGCTTAATTTAATTAGAAATTTTAATTAAAAAGAGGAAGAAAAATAAAGAAAAGAAATAAATAGCTTGTTTGGTTTTAGTTAAAATTGGGCCAAAAGTCAAATCTAATTGGCCCAATTGTCAATTCTCATCCCAAATCTGTCCAAGCCCACTACCCGCCGCCCCAATATTCCCCCTTAGAACGGCTGAGAGATACCCCCCTAGAGAGAAAGACCTAGCAGCTCTTTCCCCTCTCCAAAACAGACGAAAAAACCTCCCCCATTTTTCCCAACCCTAGCCGTCACCCCATCCCCACTCCCATAGAAACGGGACCCCCTCCCTTTTACAACCCACAGTATTGTTGCACTTTAGTGGCAATAGCAAGTAAAATAAAGATCACTCTTCTACTCTTTAGTGTTTCCGGCAGTATCTTCTGCCGTTACGCCGCCGTCAACTACCACAGAACTTCCACTCAAAAACTCAGTCATTTTTTTATAAATCGTTTTGAACCTTAATTTTTGTAAAAGTTTAGTTCTGTACTTGCTTTTGAATTTGTCATTTCCCATGAGGTCAATCTCCTGATTTTGATTTGGTCAAGATCTGCTTCAAATTTTGGGATCCACAGCTTTTTTTGCTGATCTATGGCTGCTTCACTTCGTATATCAGTCCAATTTTAATCTCCCTTGATGCTGTGGATGTTGCTTCGTTGATTCTGCTTGTTGCTGTTTGGCTCATCGTAAGGGTTGCTGTTTTTTTTTCGGTGTTTGCTTCTTTGTACGCAACAAAAAGGTTAGAAATTCAACCATAAAAGTTTCATTTTCACTTGTTGTTTATGTACGTATTATACCTGCTCTTAATCGGTTTATTTCCTTAAAGCTCTATGCATTTCCTTCATAAACGTTTTCTGTTGTGTTGATTAGTTTACTTCATTTGCTTTAGTTTAGTGATTTAACTAGTTGAATATTGATTTATTTTGATTGTTCCCATTGGTTCTGCCGCTATACCTTTAAATGTTGAAGGATAAGAATGTGTGTTTAAATTAAATATTGGGTCACATGGTTTTTTTTAGTTCAAAGGATCAAAGATAAAATGAATTATTGGGCCAATGTTGGTTTTGTGGGGTTTAAAGAGGACTGTAGGATTTTCAGATTATCCAATTAGTTTATTAAGGTTGAACCCACAAATCCTTAACATGTTGAATATTATTGGTTTTGAAAAGTTATTCTGGCTTATGGGCTTATTTGATTTCAACCAAGAATGAGGCCACTTTTCTGTCGAACCCAGTCAAAAACAAACTCTCTCATGAAGGTAAAACACTTCATGGCCTCCAATAAAACTATATCCATAATCTTTTGGCCTCACAATGAAACCCAAATACAGTAAGAATTCACATCGATAGTATGCTTTTAGGCACACTCTTAATTAATCAAATCATCATAATTATGTACACGTTCGCGTGACATAGTTGCGATTTCCGAATAAATCAAGGTACTCGTTCGCGCGACTTTGGGAACAATCTTAGTAGTAATTAAGTGTTACTAATTGTGTACACTTATGCGTGACATGATTTTTGACACCCGAATAAAATGGATTCACACACACGTGTTTCGTTTCCAAGATAAATCCATAAACGCCATAATTAAAAGCGGTAAAAAAGTTATACATAGGTTCTTAAATTGAGTAATTAAACAATTTAATTAAGCCAGATATGATTTAAGCGACCGTGCTAAAACCACGGAACCCGGGAATGCCTAACACCTTCTCCTGGGTTAACAGAATTCCTTACCCGGTCTTCTGGCTTCATAGACTTTAAACAGAGTGACTTGGGACACCATAAACACTCCCAAGTGGCGACTCTAAAATTAAATAAATAATTCCATTTCGAATAATGTCACTTTAATTGGAAAAACTCCTTATTTCTTCAGAAAAAGGAGGTGTGACACTACTAATTGGCTAATATTAATAATATTTGGCTAATATTAATAATATTTTATGAATTGATATGTTTTTGTACTAATTTACTTATGGGCTGACATAGCTGGTAGTTTCTCTGCTCTAAATAGGTCCTAAAACGTCTATTTGACACTTTTCCCAAGTTGTCTAGGCAATTGGCCCACTTTAAATGGGCCTTTCAGCTCATTTTTCTTCATTAAACATACAAAATTCAGTTTAACAATTTGAGGAAGGGAGAAGAGCAAGGGAAACGGTGAAATAGCGGAGAAAGGTAGGATGTTTTTCAGCTGTCTGAAATTCATCATCAAAACTTGCTCTTATCATGGATTCCTGATGTGTTTTCATGTTTAACGTTTTATCATTTTAATTCATCCAAGTTAGGTGGCGGAAAGTCTTTGGTTGGTGAATGTTTGTTTGTTGTTCGATATATTGCTTCAGTGAATGCACTTACTCCTTTTAACTGGTAGTGCATATTAGGGCTATTCTCTTTCTTAGTCCCTGTGTCCGATGTCATGTAATATTGAGCATGTAATTTAAGAAATAAATTTTCTTTATATCAGTAGTGAATGAAGAAACTACTAAAAATAATTGTTAAAAGTTAGTTTGTTGGAAAACTATGCCACCGGAATTTGAATTTGAATATCAGTTAAGTAACTATGCCTCCCAAAAATAGGTGGGTTCTGATTTGTTCTGACCCCAACTTTGGATTCAAATAGTTAATGACTTTGGAATTTTGTTCATGGAATAACACCTGAAAATGGAATTATTTGTGCTTATGAAAGACTAGGATATATTTGTTATTTGTGATGGAGGGAGTATTTTCTGTTGTTTAGTTGCGTTGTGCTACCATTTTGTATGATGTGCATTGCATATCTATTGTTTGGACAGGACTAGTACCCACGAACTAATACCATTGCTTATTTTTAAAGGTATCTTTCATATGTGAGTATGCTGAAACTAGTTTCTGAAACGTTATGTGTGCGAGGAGGCCAGGCAATTAGGCCTGTTCTATGTGCGCAAATTAGTGGCTTTCATACTGCAAAGGTAAATTTATTTGTCTTGATCTACTACTTCATGTAGCCTTTCTATTTTTCATATGTGCATAGATAGCTTTGGCTAGTGAATATAATCCGAGATTAAAGGAAATTTAAATTGTTTTAGACCTTGAATGATAGAGTTATGTACAGCTGTGTTTGAAAATGAAAGGTGGAATAGTGTTGAAATTAGTATGACCTAACAATTTTTAGATACTCATTAAGACATACTGAAATGAAAAGCTGTTCCATATAGGGTCAAATAACTTGAAAACACTGACAAAAAGAATTCAATCTTTGCTAGAATCATGTGACTGTCAAAAAGGTGAAACTGTGAAAAGTAAATGCTTGACGGTGTTGGACGTTTCTAAGTAATAAGGAAAATTTAGTTTCCCTCATAGGTGCAATGCATTTCTTAATCTAATCGGATAATAATACTTTGGACATAATGGCATTTTGAGATAACCACCTATTGTGTTGAGATGAACTCTTATTGTTGATTTCGTGTAGATGGTTCGAGGAATCTATATTATGCTTATACATACAAATGCTTGTATTATTTATGGATGATATTGCTTAATGGAAAAGAGTAAGCTAATAAGGAAGAAAGTGTGCATTTTTGGTTTTAACTGTTATGTGATATCATGCAAGGTTGTAGTAAACTAGTATTCACAGTAGATGCTAAATTTGAAGTACAGGCAAGTTGGCTAGGTGAATGTTGTTCTTGAGAGAAACTAGCTTAATAAAATTTTTAACTTTATGTTTGTTTTAGTGTGCTTATCGTTATTTTTTCACCTTTGCTTTTGTATAATGAAGTATACAGGTAAGTTTGGATTTTATAAAAGGAAGGGATTCCTAGAATGGAAGGACAACTCCTTTAATCTTTTGGCTTGGATCTTCATCAAATAAAAAACGTACCAATATATTATAGGTTCCAAGTCAAGGCCCTAGCTCATTTCTAGCTTGGAATGAAGCTCGAAGTGACTAAGTGCCTGTGCTTCACTGGCAAAAAAAAGGAATGACTCTTTCACCCAAAAAGAAATATAATAATAAGGTATAACTCTCGAGCAAGAGAGAGAAGCGAAAAGCTGTTCACTCCATCTATGTAGCACAAGCTGTCAGCCCTGCTCAAAGGCGGAGCTAGGACTTGAAGCCTATGGGTTCGGAATTCTGAGTCTTTTAAGTTAGTGGGTTCTAAATTAATAATTTGTACTTATTCAATAGATTTTTTAGGAGTAATACAAGGTTTGGACCGAAGCTATTGGGTTCGGCTCAACTCGTAGCCGAAGAGCTAGCTCCGCCCCTGGCCCTGCTTACATGTTTGTATACTTGTGTCTTTCTTTCCATGGTTGCAGAGTTGTGATGTTACAAATGTGGCCTTCCGCCTCCAATGTTTGTATATGTGGGCTTGCTGTAGCACCTAACACTTTTCCCTTTTGTTAGGAGTAAGAGTTACGGAAAAGAGAAGTAGGGAAAATTGTGTTCAAGTATATATCAAGGTTTGGTGTTTGTGTGCTAGCACATGATGTGCACAGTCATTGCTTTGCCTCCGTGTTTGTAGCATTACAGTACTGATAAAATGTTATTTCATTTGCAAGTGTTAAAAAGTATACAAGTTCTATTTCATCTGCGAAATTTGGGTGTTTCCACTTACCTGTATATATCTTTTCTAGGTATTACACTTGACATATGTGTATAGAACAATCAATGTTAATCTGCATAAGGATTTATATCTTATTAGAAAGATGCACCCAGATATTCTTGAAAACATAGCACCCTGAATAATTTTGTTGCTTCATTTGACAGCCTTGTTTAGCACCTAGAAGCTTTTTTGGTGTAGAAGATTTCCTTGACGATGACAATAGCCGACCATACACTTACCAGAAGGGAAAAAAGTCCAAGAACCCAAACAAGCATGTTTCTTTCAAGCAACGGACTGTAGCTTACATGGAACCATTCACCCTTGATGTTTTCATATCAAAGCGCTTTGTTTCAGCCTCTATCACCCATAGAGTTACATGCAAACAGGTTGCAGTAGCTGGTACAAACTCTAAAGACATCAAGGCAGTGCTCAAATCACGAAGTGATATTCCTGCATGCTTGTCTGTAGGACAGATTTTGGCTGACAGGGCAAGAGAGGCTGATGTATACACTGCTTCTTATACTCCTAGAGATAGGGACAAGTTCGAAGGAAAAATTAGAGCAGTTGTTCAGTCCCTCATTGATAATGGTATCGACATCAAAGTTTATCTCGACTGAAAAAGGTACTATGTATACCCATTGTATCCACTAATATTCAACCGCCTCAAAGTTAAGAATCCATATTCCAGTCTACTTAATATTTCTTCCGGTGTTTTATTTTCATAGACGCCCCTCATTGTGGTGAAGACTTGCTCACTAACTTTTATTTGATTGATTCAATCAACTTACGCCATCTTTACTAAAGAAGACTAAGTATTCAAAGTGTTAACTTGGATACGATAAATGTATGCACTAATATAAAGTTGAGAGCCTATAAAGGCTTTGAATGCTCCAATGTTGCTGGTTGTACCCGGATAGCATTCTCATTGTACATTTTAATCTTTTATTCCCCGGTCATCATCAGAAGCTCCAGGCAAACGAGCTAGGGAGCAACATCAGAGGCTTACGAGTGCATTGCCATGCCAATGCTAGGTTCATGACAATTGAACTTGATTTTGAAGGATGAAGTGTCGGTAGGTTTACGCATTTGTGTGCCACCAATTGTTTCTTTTATTGACATCATCTGACAGAAGTTACTACTAGCATGTATAATTCTGAGGGGCTGTGTGGTTCTTGGTATGTAAATTTTATCAGGAAGAATGGGGTTCTATATATTTCCTTGTTTAGTGATTCTGCTCTCATTTTAAATGACAGTATTGGACTGAACACGCTGTTCAAGTGTCAGTTTGAAAGAAGTCATCTAACTTTGAAGGATCAGCAGGGAGACCCTAGGTGAGCGCCAAAACTTGCATATGGAGCATACTCGGTTCAGCTTCGAGGGTAAGCGAATGTAAACCAAAAACAAGGAGGAAATATTGTGAGTATAAATGACAAGACACAAGAGTAAGGATGTGTGGATTGGAAATATTTTGAGTATAAATGACAAGCCACGAGAGAAAGGATGTGTGGATTGTAATGAGTAGTGCTCTACTAGTGAAATCGGTCCATTGACACCTTTGATTGTTTCAACTAAGGCCGAGCACTCTTCTCAAATCTTTGATTGCACTCTCGCTATAAATAGTTGAAACCTCTGTGGAAAAGTTAATATAATGTCGATTAGCTGTATTTCATCTAGTGTTCGGTCTTCATACAAAACATGATGTCTTCTGTCTTTTATAGAATTTATGTTGTAGTCAATTGTTTATGACATCCTCGCCTTTTGAACTGATTATATAAACCAGTAGCTTGATCTTCTCATTTATGCCTATTGGAACAACTTCACCATGTTCCCAAAGAGCAATTGAATGATTAAAAGGTATAATTTAAATGGCAGCATCACAAGTTTAAAGTTTTTTTTTGGTAATTAAAGAAGCTTTATTACCACTTGGAAGTTTAAAAAGTTAGGAATTTTTACCTCCTATAGCGAAGGTTTAACACCTTATTTATTTTAAATAAATACCATCTAAAAAAATTATATTCTATAGATATCTTTTAATGTTTATAGCAAAATATCTAATTTTGGTTACCTCCTATCCCGAAACCATTAAATACGCTATTCAGTTACAATATTTTTTTTTTCTCTACTTTGATACATGTCATTCTTTTCCCCATTTCCTGAAAACACGATGCTCACATCACCTCTCCGCACCAAAACCCCTCTTTGTTCTCTCCACAGAGAACTTACCCTATCTCACACGCTAACAGCTATGAGAATTATGATGACCACTTGACATTGGCCATAATGGTTTTGCTCCAGCATCTCTGTAATACCTATTTTCCAAGATAGTGATCGAATCTCAATGGCAAATCATGTGATCCTAATTCTTAGGGGATAACAAAGAAGGCAACGACGGCAATTTATATGTACACTCTTTTTCTTCTCGTCCAATGATGCTGTTCCTGCTTTCATTCAAGAACGATTTGTCTTCATTCGCGAGGATTTTTGCTCGACGGCGGATTCGCCAAAAATTAGGGTTTGTTCTTGAACAAAGACGACGGAGTTTGGGGCTGAGCAACTTGATTTTCTGTTAATATATTTCAATGTGTTTTCAATGTATCACGATGTATTTTCATGTATTTCATTGTATTTTTTTTTATTATAATTCAATGTATCTCGCTGTATTCCGTGTATTTCATTGTATTCACTATCTTTTTTTCATTGTATTTCAATTTATCCCGGTGTATTCTATGTATTTCATTGTATTCACTATCTCGCTATATGTCATGAATGTATTCATATGTTTTTTAATTAATATAATTATGTATTTAGATGTATTATATAATTTCTTTGAAGATTGCTATGTTTTTGGGGGTATTTTTCGGTTGAGAATCTTTTTTATAACTGAAAATATAAAATTTGTGTGTTATATTTGAGTTTGTTGAGTTATATTAGGAGTCTATTATGTTAATTGATTCACTTTCCGTTTAAAAACAGTGTAATCCTCTGTTTCACGCCGTGAATAAAGTCGAATACAATAATCTGTCCAGCTGTAATCCCATGTTTCACGCTATGAATATAGTCGAATACAACAACTGATTAGCTGGACTTCCCTGATTCACGTCTATTTTTGCTACTGTATTCATAAATACAGTAGCTTAAATACATCTAATACATCTTATAACAACAGAAAACGTATCTACAATCCGTAATATAACAAATAGTATCTATAGATAGCTAATTAACATTAAAAGATAGTGATTTATGAAAATTTCCCTAGTTAATTGGACTATTCATATTCTCACGTTGAATATGGAAAAAAGAGAGAAAATAAAAGAAGTAACTTACCTATAAAAAGTTTTAAGTTATGTGCATTGATGGTAGGCGTTTATATTTTTCACCTCTTCATATCAAGTATGATATAGCAACCTGTAAAATAGAGTGAGAACCTATATATGATCAGTTAAATTGTGCTGACAATGTGAAAAGGTGACCACCGATCTATCTATTTGACTTCTAACCAAATGGCAGAGAGATTAGTGTAATCGTCCCAACTCATATTTATTTGCAGGAGATTATTTATTTGCATCTCTTTTCTCTATGTCTATATCAATGAACCTATCCTTTAGTATTCCAATAATTGGAATTTAAAAGGGCTTTCTTTCTCATGAAGAGGTCTCAACTCAAGAAATTCTTCATCATATACTATAAATAGTATGTTGAGAATACAAATGAAAAGGAATGGAAATGGAAGCATCAAACGTTAAGGGGAAAAGTACTTCTCATGCAACTATTAGAGTACAACTACAAATGCAAGATAAGGAAGATTTCTTCTTCAGCTGCGAAAAAGATGTTCCTCTGTTAAGATTCTTACATGATTATTCTGATAGAATTGGGCTAAAATATGAAGTAATAATGTTTACTTGTGATGGAAAGAGAATTAGGGGCACTGAGACTGCAGATAAACTTGGAATGGAAGATGAAGATACCATAGATGCTTGGTTGGAATGTATATATTGGTGGTTAATTTCATGCAAATCTTTTAATTAAGTTTGACATGTATTTAGTTAATATTTTCATTTTGTAAAGATTTTGGAAATCCCTAGCTAGCAATATAGAGTGTGTTAAAGTACGTAATATGTTCCAGTAGTTTGTGATATGAACATAAGTGCACTTAATTTTTCTTATTAAAGAAGTAGTACTACTTATTTATATCGTTTATGATATTTTATGATTTATTACTTTGTAATTCTTCTTGATGATGGTCGACTTGATTCTGATGTAAATGAAAACTGAAAAGAGAGAAAAAGAATTTAAAGTATATGATGTATAATCCTTTGATATGGTTGAGCTTAAATGAAGCAATCAGATGTATATAGAAGATCCCAATTTGTTTGAGATTGATGTTTAATTATTATTTGTACAAGTTAATTCCGCGATCTTCAACATGCATACAGAATTGCGTGCATAGTAGAAAACGCAATTTTAGTTGATATAGTCTTAAGTTCTAACTTTAATACGACGGTACTTCTTCATAACATAATATTATGTTAAAATAGCACGATCTAATTAGTTTTTGGGACTGGTCATTTAAAAATAGCTAGCGTTATTAAGTCAATAAAAAATAACCACTATTTTGTTGCAACAGAGACCGATCCAGCATAATATACTGGAGTTCGGTGCACCTATGTATGAACTTCCAGCATATTATGCTGGACCGGTATACTTTGCTGGCTCCAGTATAATATACTGGAGACTGGAGCACTGGTGCTCCAAACTCCAGTATATTTTGTTGGACCGGTATATTATACTGGAATTTCAATATATTAGACTGGAGTTCCAGTAAACTCCAGTATATTATGCTGGAGTATTTTTTCGGATTTTGAACAGTATTTTCGTTCAGATTTATCTTTACATGAAAAGTGGCTAAATTTCGATTACTTTTGAAACTGTGGCTATTTTTGAATGACCACTTGTAAATCTGGCTATTTTTGAATTTCTCCCTAATATTACTTGTGCAAAATAATGGGCGGCTTAAACTATTTGGGTATATGGATTAAACCACGTTAATTACATCATTTATATATAGAGAAAAGAACAGAAAATAAATATATAACAATTAAACATTTTGCTTTCGACCCAAAAAAGAATCTTGACTAAAACATCCATATCGCAGATCTATTTGGTTTTCTTTTTTCAAAACAAAAATTAAGTTAGTATTTACAATTAAACCCAATATTAGAAAGAACAAATCGGCAAAGAAATATAAATACTGCTATCATATAGTACTAAAATTGGAGTTACAATTCCACTTCAATTTGTATTTAAAGAGATAATTTTATCCATGATCATTGAACTTTTGTGTTTGTTACCCAAAAATCAATTTTCTTTCTTTTGTAACGTAAAAATAACTTTGTGTTCATTACACAAAAGTCGTTTTTCTTTCTTTTGTTACACAAAAATCATTTTACTTTGCTCTAGTTATCACAAAAGTCACGTTTTTACTTGAAAAATCTATTATGCCCTTGATATTATATACCGACCTTCAAAATACCGACCACACGTTAATGGTCGCGTTTTGGACTATTATTGGCCATTACCGACCAACTTTGGTAGATTTTTTTGGACTTTTTTCCCGAATTTATAGTAGTATAATTTCCCAAATAACTAATTGCCAAGGTAAATCCCCAAGAAAATATCCCAGCTAAATTCACATGTAGAGTTACCTAGGGATTTTTCTTCAGATTAGCATATGATTTTTTCCCTCATTTTCTTTGTTTGTTTACCTGCGAATTTTCTCACGAAAATGTACTTACCGATTTATTTCTCTACTAATATATATTAAAGTTACTGACAAATTTAATAATGCTACTAATATATTTTGAAAAATTAACGTTAAGAAAAAATTAAATATACGAATATATTATAAAAATAATAAATAAAATAATATTAAGTTATTTTATTTATAAATAAAATATATAGTTAAAAATATATTATATAGTATATAATATCAAGGGCATACTAGACTTTTCAAGTAAAAATGTGACTTTTGTGATAATTAGAGCAAAGTAAAATGCTTTTTGTGTAACAAAAGAAAGAAAAGTGACTTTTGTGTAATGAACACAAAATTGAATGATTTTTACGTAACAAAAAAAAGTAACTTTTGGGTAGCAAATATAAAAATTCAGTGACCATAAATAAAATTAACTCGTATTTAAATGGTACAGGGCACAAATCTCGTCAAGGACCTTTTCTTATTCTTCATATTAATTTATGACGGTCCCTAAACAAAATTTTAAAGAGTAAGAAAGTGGGAAGAAAATAAAAGAATAATCTCTTGTGTAGATTCGACATGTCTGAGATACAGCTCATATTAGTACTGCACTTGGAAAACAATAGCAATAATATAATAGCTATAAACCGTTATAAAATAGTAGTAATAGAGATGCAAAACAAATAGATAAAAAGTTTAGAGAGAGATTTTGTTTCTCTTAGATGAATAAACAGAGACTCAGAACAATTAGGAATGAAAAAATTCAAAATTCTGATGTATTTCAATGATTAAAACTGTATGACGTACTTACAAGGTATTTATACAAGTAAATGACTCTCAATTATCTCTTGATTAATACCTAGCTACTAATTGCTATATAAAGATACTTGAAATTGGGTTGCTAATTTGCTAACAATTTGACCCTTAGCCATTTTGGGAGATCCTCAAAATTGGACTGCTAAATAAGGATAGTCAACTCCCCTTCCTCAAACTA